GCTAATAAAGTCAGAGTCGGTGGTAAGAGTAATTGTGGAATTAACAAAGGAAAAACAAAAACGTTGTAACATCCGATAACTGGGATTTTGCAACCTTAAGACTGCTTTTAAAGTATAAAAAAAATTACGCATATGCCTAGAAATTTATGTTGGACATAAATTTCCGGTAATTTAAAAACTTACCACACATTTTTGGCCATTTGAAAATTTAATATAATTTTGAATAAATTTAAAAATTGCAAATGCTCTTTTGGACATTTGAAAAACCTGACATAAGCTATGGGCTTTAAAAACTGAACATAATTTTTGGTAATTTTAAAAACTGAACATGAGCTATAGTAATATGAAAATTGGATATTAAATTCGGCCAATTTAAATCTGAACAATCCAAAGGCGGTACACAAAATTTTGGTAAAATTAAAACTGCACACAAATTGTTGACAGTTTAAAAAGGCGACACACATTTTTAATGGCTAAAATACTGGACATATGTATAGTAAAAACCTAAAAAACGTCATTAAAAATGTTTTTCCCGATACCTATAAACTCCTGAGTGTAAAATCTGGGAATTAAAAATCCTCGACCATAGAAAAATTGGACATAACATGTTAGGAAACTAAGCGAACGCATAAATTTTTGCAAATTTTTTATTTATTAATTTCAATACAACAACCATAGATTGTATTTAAAAGTAAGTAATTTTTGGAAATGTAAAAGCTGAGCTTAAATTTTTGGCGAATCAAAAAAAAAAAAACTAGACATAAATTTTGGACATTTAAAACTGAACATAATTTTTTGGTATTTTTAAAACCGAAAATGAACTTTTGTTGGACACAAATTTTTGATAGCTAAAAAGCTATACATGTATAATAAAAATGTGAAAAATGGACATTGAAACTATACATCCCAATATACATATATAAACGACTGAGTATAAAATTTGACCTTAAATTTTTGGGAATTTAAAAACTGGACAACAGTCTCGGTCATTTAACAATTTCACAAACAATTTTAGAAAACTGAAACCTTGGCATAAAATTTTGCAAATTTTAATGCTAGATTTTAATTTGTGGTAATTTAAAAACTGGAAATGAATTTTTGATAAGTTGAAAATTGGACATAATTTATTAATATTTCAAAGTTTGGACAGACATTCTGGTGGCCAACTAAAACTTAACATAATTTTTGTTGATTTAAAAACTTAAAATGAATTCTTGGCAATTTATAAACTAAAAGTAAGTTTTTGGCCATTTCAAAACTGGACACAATAATAAATGTTTTCGCAAACTAAAACCTGTACATAATACATTCGTAAAATGAAAACTGGACATTAATTTTTGATCATTTAAAAACTAAGAAGTCAAAAAGTTGGACATCGGAATTTTATGTCGCACGCCGGTGTGTAAAATTTTAATACTAATATTTAGCACTTTAAAAAGTGGACGTCGATTTTGGTCATTTAAAAAATGGGCATAGAATTTTATTAATGTATAAATCGTACATTAATATTCGTCAACGCGTAAAACAGGACATACAATTTTGTCTTTTATCAGAGGCTGTGAAATATGGGTAGTAAAAAGTGCAACAAATTATGTTCAATTTTCAAGTTACTTAAAATGTACTGCTAGTTCTAAAATGCGTCAGATCTCGATTACAATTAAGAAATATATAACCATAACAAGAATAGTGTTAATACAAATATACATATAAAAATATGTTTCATACATATACAATTTGCAAACACAAACGGCCGTATTGACAGCATTTTACATACATACATACCTACAGGGATTTATGTTTTAAGTAATTATCTTCTAAATTACCTTTTTTATTCCATTTATATGCGATTTAATAAGTTGTAAATATATGTATGTATCCATCAATTATCCGGTTTGTTTAATATGTGAGTTTTGATATTTGTTTTTTTTTTTTTAATGTCAACAACGCTTATACTAGTAAATATTTTTGTGTGTTTTGTATATGTATAGGTATGTATATTTGTTGGAGCACTAAATCGTTTCTCTGCTAGAATTAACATTATGCTAATACTTTATAATCATTTGTCCTATATGCCTCGGCGCATATGACTTAATTTACATACAAATAGACACGAGAAAGTTTGATTTAAATTTAAATTCAGTTAACACGCGCATCGAAATTTATTAAATTAATAATTGCTTTCATTTGGTGATTTGCAACAAATATTGAAATACATTAGTTAGTTACATACAATTCTTCTTTAACTTTTTACAATTCAAAATTTTGTATATGTATACTAGTGTGTATATACCAGAAATATGTTTTAATTACTTAGTACCCTGCTGGAAAAAATTGCCAAATGCAATAAATAATGCTTCAACATCACCGGCAAATCATTTTGTGATTTAAGTTCATTGCTCTACAAAATCCACCCTAAATTCTGGCGATATCTAAGGGTTATACTCGAACGGCAATACTTTGGCAACCAAACCTTTGCTTATCGAGCACTGCGTAAATGCAAAAAAAAAAACAACCGAGAGTTTAAGAAAATGTATAAGATTCTACATCCAAATCTTATACAGGACCACTGCTGCGTTAAATACTCATCCCATTAAGTTAATTAAAAGGGTACTTAAGTTCGCTGCGAAATAGCTTTTTTTAATTGGAACACATTTTTCGTTGATCTAATATCTAAACTAGAAGGTTAGTGGCGCATTTTGATAGCTCATAGCTTTTAGAAACGGAATCAAGATCGACTTAGATGTCGAAAGTGATTTCCAGAGATCAGAATGTTGAAATGCGCATGCATTTCACCAACCAATATGACAAATTGTTTTCGAGTCCATAAATACAATTGAAGATCATTTTCTTGCCTGTTTTTCGGCGCTATCGTTGCTTCTGAGACCATAGTCTGTGCTTAAAAGTTGAAGTTTACCAGAACACTTCTTAATAACTTTTCGTTTGAATATTATCTTAAAAAATCCCGCTCGACTATATCAAAATACAATTCCAAACTATAACTGGGCCTTGAAAAACTTTTTTTTTTTCTAATATATACATCGGAGCCGGTTGACAGGTCCATATATCATACATCTTTGATTCGTATGTACATACCAGGGATCAAGGCGAAAAAACCCGTTTGCCCCACCTCTTGATCTGCGATACTCAGCAGGAACCCCGGGCGACTTCAAACGTTGGTAATCACTCTTAAAAGGAATCTTTTATTGTAAGACAATGATCATGTCTGGTTTTATGAGCTTGAATAATTGAAAGTGCACTTGCATTTCAAGCAGCAGAAGGAAATATGTGAAAGTTGCTGTCCTACTTACTAAAGCCTAGCAAAAAGCAAATGGTTTGGAGCCATAAAAATATACTGAAAATAGTTATTATCAGTGTTTTTTTTTTTTTAAGGTATTAGCAGGTCTTTCCTGCAGGGTATATATCTATATTATATCCCAGCAAACATTTGATTTGAAATCGAAGCACATTTTAAAATGATACTCATATGAATGTTTCTGTAATTATTTTACATAGCGTAGTATTAAGGTGGTCCTTAAAAATATCAATATCATGGGGCACCCCTTTAATTTTGTTTTACGAAAATTAAAAAAATTTAATTGTGGTCGCTACCAGGAATTGAAAAAATGTATAGTTATTTTGAATCGCAAAATTGCGATACACAATTGATTTCGACCAGCTATAACTCAGCTAGTTTATAAATTTATATGACCAAGTTTCAACAATATGTCAAATTTATTAGGTTTCAAAACAAAATTTATGGAATTTTTGCGATTTACAAAAAAAAAAAATAACTTTTCAAAATCTGGTGCGACTCATACAAATTTGTTTAACATTTTGAAATTTTCGTGGATGTCTTTATTTTGTACGTAGAACAAAATAAATGGGTGCATCCCATACACTATTTATATGTTGATATTTTAAGGACAACCCTAAAGAGTGTGCCCCTCTATATTGGACTAAATAGTTGATTTTCAAAACAATAATAATAGCGCATTTCCACCGATCATTAACTGCAGTTTACGCTTTATGTTAGTAAAATAATTATATCAAATTGACTTAACGCTGCTTTAAAATACATTTAACTCAATTACGCAAAAAAATATATATGTTCACATTGTTGCATAAATTACTTAATTTCGTGTGCCACACACATCTTAATTAAACAACTTATTGACCTCTACTTATCTGTGCTTATTAATAGAATGGGCCAGAAATTAAAGGTTGAAAAAGATACATATACATTTTTAATTAGAAACTTTCAGGAACATTCAGAAAAGTGCAGAAGGAAACAGTATTCTGTTGGTAATTGAATTTTTGCTGAGAAAATTTCATTGAAATATATGTATGAATAAGTTTAGCATAACCAAAAGGTCTTAGAGGAAATTTTCATTAGAAATCGAATTAAAAAAAACGTTGCGGAATTTAAAAAATTCGATGTGGAAATGAACTTAATGAAAATTAAAAAAAGTAAGGAAAGTCTAATTTCCACAATATCTAAATTATATAATTTAGGGACGACTCCGCCAGAAAAAGAGCGGTAGGTAACTGCTCTCCCGATTCCTTTGCAGCCTAGGGAAATGGTAGTCTTATAGTATAACTGTACGTCCATACCTGTTATGGGCGCTCGCAAACGAAGCATCGTAAGAGATATATCGCAGGTGTAGACCGTTCATCATAAATTTTTCTGCGATCAAATTTCGAATGCGAGAAAACTGACAGTTCGCATGCGAGCGCCCATGGCAGGTATAGACCTGCGGTAAAGTACTGTTAACCCTAAAAGAGGTTTGGAAATTTTTGTTAATAATAATGCCGGCTACGCCATCTTGAAAACCAGCACAGTGTTTTATTTACAAATTAATATCTTCGAACCCAAAAATGGATTTTAATGAGAATTTCAGCTACAAACACGTTGTTTAAATTTATATTGCAATAAACAAAAATTTTAAAGTTTTTCAAAATTTTGACCAAATTATTTTTTCTTTAATTAAGTTTTGTCTAATTAAGCCACATTTTTAAATTTCTTAATTCTTAATTATAAATAGAGACGACTTTACTCAAATACTTCAAATTTGAGAAAAACATTTCAAAAGCTAAACCTATGTTTGCTGAGATAGATAGAATAAGGAAGTGTTTACATTTCACGATCGTTCTTATTCTGGTAAATGTGTAAGAGTGTGTGTGTGTGTGTGTGTAGCCGAAAATATGCCGTGTGATTGTGTGGGTGTACATCGTATTTGACCCAACCATTTTACCTTAAGGTACACTACTGCAACAAAATCCGATGTGTGTGCGTGTGTGTACTGTTGTTTTATTCGCCAACATTTGTTGTTATTTTTTTTGTTTTTTTTTTTATCGGTTTTTCTACATACAAGTCTGAAATTATGACCATAAATGTTTGTTGTGGTTGTTGTTGCTGTTTTCCTTATATAGTCCGACTTTTATACGCTTCATTTAACTGCATACTCATACAAACATAAATATGTATGTATTATCTACATTTGATGTAGATATGCGCTGCTAATACCGTAGCCAATTTTCCTCTTGTTGTTGTTGTTGTTGTTTTTATTCACGCTGATATTGTAGTTGCGTGGACTCATCAGATGACTCCGGCATCATCATGTCCGCCATTTTGATTAGCTACACTTCCTCATAGCTGCGACATTTGGGCACCGGACCGGACCAATTACCATCCGGTTGACATTTCGGACGTTCGGGCGGACCATTCTCACTGTACTGCACAAAGCCTGGACGACATTGAACGCTCAGGTAATCGCCGGAATCATAATTGAATTTGAGCGGCGCTATTAGACCATTTGGTGGATCGCCGGGGTAGGGACATTGTGATTGACCTACCAGAACAGCAGAGGAGTGGAGTGGAGTGCATGGAGTAGTGAAGAAGCGGCAGCAGAGAAGCGAGGGAAAAGCAGAAAGAGATAGATAGATACGTATGTATGCACATATATGCTATGTAGATGTGATTTGAATGAAATTGACTACTAGATGATACTGATGTTCTTATTGGACAAACTTAAAGGCTTGTAAGTTTATACATTAGGGTGTCATGCAAAAAATCTGAACTATTTCTCCATCGATATTTTAATTTTTTTTTTTTTTTGCATTTTAAGACTTGCGGAGAAGTATTTAAGATTTACGTGAGCTGAACCGATTTGTTGTTAAAAATATTTTTACCAAAAGATCACCTATGACGATAGAAGAGTTTTAGCTCTGCATAAAAATGTTTTCAAATTTTATTAAAGGAATCAAAAAAATAAGATTTTTCGAAATATTTTGAAATTAGTCTAGCTCACTTTACATCTTTATATTTTTCCGAAATATTTTGCCGAAAATTTTAAAATATAATAAATTGTATAATAGCAGTGGAAAACCCGCAACTTTTTTTTGACGAGGCATCCTAATATACTTATCCATAAGTAAGTACTCACGCATGCCTGCGCGTAAGGTAAGCCTCATTTATTTGGCTCATAAATGGTTATCGATTCTTTGATTGATTGATTAACATTTAAAAATGGTAGGAAGGCAATTGCAGTTGGAAATTGTAAATTACCAATTTCCCTTTCATTATGTCTTCGCTTGTACTCGTCGCTTTTTACCGTTACAAAAATCCTACACACATATCTATTCGGGCGAATACTTTGGAGCCACTGAGCTTGGTTTAAAAATTGTTCAGCAGCCGCTGATATTTTTATTTTTGTTTGTTAAATTTTTGCATTTTACTTCTGCCAATTATTTCGGCACACGAACACATATACACACACACGCACACATAACGCCAGCATTGCTTTGCATGTGTACTTTAAAGCTAATGGAAAGTTTGTGTGCGTGTGTGTGCGTGTATATATATGTGTGTGTGTGTGTGTGTGTGTGTGAGAGAGAAGTGTAAACCTCAGCGCGACTTTAACATTTTCAATTTAATACAAATACCATTACATCTTGCAATTTTCTGCCACATACACACCGTGTCATAATAATAACTGCACCACATATTGACAAATTTTAATTGTTTTTAATTTTAGTTGGTTTTTGAATAAAAATTTAGTTTATTCCTTGACAAAAGCCGCAGAAACTTTGTGCAATATTTAAAAAATAATAATAAATAATAATAAAGTGCAAGCTTGAAGCAGTTAGGATATACCGTTGATTTTTGGCAATTTTGTTTTGTTTTTTTGTTGATGGTGTTGCTCAGTTTCTTGCATAAAATGATATATCGTCGAACAAAAAAATTGCCAAAAATCAACGGCACATCCCAGCTACTCTAAACTTGCACTTTGCTTCACTAAAATTGAATGGGCTACAAAACTGTATACCAAAAAATCTTCTAAGTAATCTTGCATTTTTTTAAATATTGCACAAAGTTTGAAACTAGGATTTATATCCTTTTGTTGAAGAAAAAACTATATTTTAATAACAAATAACTTGAATTAAATAATTAAAAAAAACAAAAATTATTTAAAACTCCTCAATATGTGGTGCGCTTATAATTATGCCACGAAGTGTTTAGTATAATAATTCACTTAAAATAAATAACTTTTTTTACTCGTATGTATGTAGTTGGTTATTACTTACAAAATGGTGGCGAATGCGACCAGAGTCCAGTCTCTGTGCATATGATGCTTGGCTCGCCGATCAGCGTGTGTCCCTCGTTGCAGCTGAATGTGACCAAAGCGCCGACAGTGAGACGACGCTGATTTAAATTGGTACCACCGATTCGTCCATTTAGCGGCGCCACCGGCGTCGAACATTGGATGGCTGTTTTATTATAAATTTTTCATGCGCGTGATATTTCAGTTGGATGAGGTAGATGGTGTGTGTGTGTGCATGGTGGGGGTTGACGTTCATATGCACGACAGAGAGAGAGAGCGAGAGATTGAGGTTGAGAGGGGAGCGTGAGCAAAGCGAGAAGAAAGAAGAGCAGATGGCGATGATACAGTGAAATATGTTGCAATTCGAAAACACAAAATGTATGTAACAGTGGGAGCAAAAAGTGATATGTAGCACACGTATACTGCGAATAAAAAAAAAAAAACTAACTGAAGACGACAAAAAATTTAACGTATAGGGTGGTTCAAGGGTATTGCAGATCTTTGACAGAAATTATTTGTGATATGGTAATGTTTTTTTTTGTTGAATTTTTTTTTTCATACAATTGGTACAGGCGTAGGCAAATTTAGTGGATTTTTTACGAGCAATGCACAGTTGAATAAGGCGCAAAAGTGACCCGCACGTTTTAGGAAAATAGTAATGCGGCAAGAAAAGCATTTCGCGTATTGCGTGATTTGCAATGGGGCACATAACAAACACCTTGGCGTATACGTTACCGAGCAAAACTGCCACATTTGGGCACTGAAAGTCTATGTGATTGAAAACAATAAAAACAAAAATTTCACTCACAGCGAGTTTCTGTGTTTGGTGTGGTTTTTGGGCTGGCGAATTCATCGGACCGTACTTCTTCGAAAATGATGTCGGTAACGCTGTTACGGTGAACATTATCGTGACATGTTAACAAACTTTTTATGACCTGAATTAGATGAAATGGACTCGGACAATATTTCAAAAATTGTTTCAAAAGTACGGTGTCACATGCCACACAGCGCTAGGGAAGACATGTGGACTTCGACGTTCGACCAAAATCGACTTGTTACTCCTGAAAGCCGAATTTCAGTGACCGACTTTCAGTTTATGCAGTTTTCACTTTCGACTCTAGACTCTTTTTTTTAATTTATTTGCAGTTGCGTCTCTTACATTTAAACTTTTCTTTTTTCAAAAAGTAGTCTGTAATTATTAAATCAAGATTTTTTTTAAGGAAATTTTTAGATTTTTTTTAGTCAAAATTAAAAAATTTATTTATTTTTTTAAATATCAACTTTTAAAAACCCTCGCAAACAACATTTTCATGCTGTATAACTGGCACATTTTAAAAATTTTTTTAAAATCCTTTAGTGTCTGTATGGGGTTTTTTTTTTTACTAAATTTCAGATTTTTCTAAAAACCACTTGTAAGTCATGATATTTTTGGCGTATTCTAACCCTTATATTTATATCTAATATATGAGTTAAATGCAGAGTATCTATGCTTAATACATTTTTTTATTAAAAAGTCGATTTTTCTTCGTTCAAATTTTAAAGTCGACTCTATAGAGTCGATCGAAAAGTCGAAAGTAAACCTTCTAAGTAATGAACTCGAACAACCCTACACAGCGTATGGAACAATGACCATTTTACGAATCTCTCACAAAGCAACGCGTTCAAATGACCGCCGAGATCTTGTGATTTGGCACAATTTGGTTTCTTTCTCTGCAATTACGTGAAAAGTATGGTCTATGCCAATAAGCCTGAGACTTTAACAGAGCTGAATAATGGAAGAGAAGCCGTAGTTGGTATTCAACATATCAGTACATATTGTGTTTCATACATACATAATTGAAGAAAAAAAATTCGAAAAATTTTGGTGTGTTTTATTTTATTTATAAAAAAAATCTGCCGTCCTACTGAAGCACCCTATACACTTGCCTAGTGCATTAAAAAACAAAAACAATAAATAAATAAATTAAAAACACTAAAAAAGCAACAAACAGCACGCAAAACAATTAAGTAAATAAAAAAAAAAAAAATGAAGAACATACAACTACTGCCCGCGTAGTGTAAAGTGAAAATGTGGGACGAGAAAAATGCGTTCTTTTTTTTGGTTTGTTTTTGCCGCCGTCCAACTTTCAACACTGCTGGCGTTCACGCTGGTTCTTTCTTGCCGCACAGCACGGCTTGCGTCGCCTGTTTGAGTTGTCAATAAAGAATTCAATTATTCGTGTACTTTACAAGTTGCTGGCTGACAACGCCAACAGCAGCAGTCCCTACTTGAATGTTGAATCTTTTGGTTGCGTTGGTAAGTATTCAGTAATCCTATGTCGATAAAAGCGTGCGTGTGTGTGTGGGCATTCATTTTTTCCTGCCAATGACTTGCTACTTTTCGTTCTCACTGCTCAAATAGATTGCCCAGATTGTGGCAGTTGTAACTGATGATTTCGTAGTTTCTGTGCTACCGTTATACTAATTAAGGTAACTACACCACTATGTGACGTTTTCACAGGTGGGTTTTAAAATTTAACTGCCCCTCAGAACAATATTTGTGTTTAAAGGGCAGTTGTATTTTAAAACCTACACTCACGACAAAAAGTATTGACCCAGAGAATTTTTCACAATATATGCAACATTTTTTATTTAATTTTTTTCCGCGATTTTTTTTTTTTTAACATCGTTCATACTATAGCAAAAGTCATAAAAATCTGATTTCTAAACATTGTGCAAACCTAAGGTAAATTCAACAAACTCTCATGCAAATTTCAACTTTTTTATCAGATTTTTTGATTATGCAGTTTTGTAGCTCGTTAAATTTTACTATAATAAAGTGCGAGTTTGAAGGACTTTTGGTAATTTTTTCAAGCATTTTATTCAAAAAAAGAAATCGAAAATACTTTGTATGAAAAAATAGCGAAAAACCTTCAACAAAATATCTCAAACATGAATTTTTTTTAGTTTGAATGAGCTACAAAACTGCTTTCTAAAAATAATTAAAAAAAATCTGACTAAAATATTGAAAATTTGCGTGGGAATTTGCTGAACTTTCCCGAGTTTTGCACAAAGTTAAAAATAAGTATTCTTAAGTGTTTTTTTGTAGTATTAACCACATTTTTATAAAAAAAACTAGCGGAAACAAATTTAAATAAAAATTGTTGCATATGTTGTCAAAAATTCTCTGGGCAAATGCTTTGAGAACTATTTCAGGACTATTTCGGGACTTGTTCGGGATACTTTCCGGACTTGTTCGGGATAATTTCGGGCGGTTTCGGGTCTAGTTCGCGACTAACTATTTGAGGACGATTTTGGGACTTCAGCTGGACCGTTTCGAGGCTAGTTCTGGACTATTTCAGAAACATTTCCAATTTAGTTCGGGAACATTCTAGGACTAGTTTAGGACCATTTCGAGATTATTTGAGGACCATTTTGAGGCTAGTTCGCGATCATTTCGAGAGAAATAAGGTATCATTTCCGCACTGTTTCAAGTCTTGTTTACGACTTTTTCGATCATTCAGGACCCTGTTCAGGATTATTTCAAGATAATATCAGGAGCTGTGCAAGACCATTTCGAAGCTATTTCAGGACTAGTTCTGGCTCATTTCGAGACTAGTTCAGAACTATTTTGGGACTATTTTGGGAAGATTCGAGACTAACTCACTGAGAACTCTCGCAACTACATACATAAATTTGCTGCAAATGAAAGTATGGAACTTTACATACGCGGCCTCCTAACTTAACATGGCCTAGCCTTACTTTGCTTATCCCTGGCATCAGGAGAATTATTGATGAACACAAACCCTTTTAGCGAACTAGAAGGATTTTTGTAACTGCCACCGGATCCGATGGAAAACATAAACTATCACGTGGCATTATGTTCCTTACGGCCTGATCTGCCGAGGAAGGACATGTCAGGGCTGAAAACTTCTAATAAATAACCAAGCTCTTGCGGAGCTTCCACGAGCTTCTATCCCGGCTTACCTACTTACAGAACCTGTTTCCTCTTTTAATATGCCAAAGACATGGAGTGAGGGCCACAGGAAAGACTAGCCCCAATATTTTGGTAATCAGTTCCTCTCATGTGTCTATAGATGACACGCCACCTTACTCTACAAACTCTTCAACACCACGAAGTCAATTTTTACTGGGTGCCGCAATCGAGTGGTATTCTGGGAAATGAGACAGCCGAAAAGTGCGCGAGAAAGGTATAGGATTAATGCCCATCAAATCATGAGTATAGAGATTATTTCTTACTTATTCGTATACCCCGTTAGATCTATTTACGTAGTACGAAATGTTGAAATGATATGAATATTTCACGCTTTAAGTATGTAATTATTTAAGTTTAAGAAAATTCGCTAAAGCAGAACTTTGGCACTACCAAGTATTACTAGCAATGATTGTCGTCTAAAAATTAAATCCATTAGTGTACACTACTTCTAGTACATCTCTACATTACCATATTTTGTGGCGCGAAATTTGAAGCTTCTTTTGTTGGAATAAATAAAAGCAAAATTAAATTATGCAAAACATATCAATTTAAAAGAATTTCTTCACATACCTTTCTTTTTATAAATATTTGAACAAAAATTTACTTCGTGTGCTTCAGTAGTGTCCTTATTCAAATTACTCACCTTTGCAACGCGGTACTGGGCCACTCCACACGCCCGTCGGCTCACAGTCCAGTCTCGGCGGGCCGGTCAGCTTAAAGCCCCACTGGCATTTGAACATCGCCCGCCCCCACGCCGACGTATTCAACTCGACCAAACTCAAATGGGGATCGTCCAATGCCAAACGGGGACACTGCACAGCCTGACAAGTGGGCGGCGGCGATGACCAATTACCCGAGGCTAAGCACGTTGCATTCGCAATACCATCGATGCGATAACCTGGAGGGCAGCGATACATGGCGCGCTGTCCGAGCTTATTACCCTCCAAGCGTAGCGTGAGCGGCGGCACCGGTTCTGGTAGCTGCGGACATGTCGAGGTGGCCACAACGATTGCAATGCTATTGGTCAAGCCGCGCGGTGAAGTGCACGTAAATGTGCCGGAATCACTGTTTTGTATGTCCTTAATTGTTAGGCGATAGCGTAGATTTTTATCTTCGTGTGACCAACCTGTAATAGATAATGTTAGTGTGAAAGAGTCAGATACAAGAGAAGGGGAGAGCGGTTAATTTATATGTAATTGAAACAAGTTAAGAAAATTTTTTTCACGAAAAAGGAAGGGAAATGGGCCTCATGCATAAAATATGAGGTTTTAAGCTCCGACTCGATTTTCAGTGCAAATTCCTGAGCCTGAGCTCACTCCTTCAGTGCAAAAAATGATTCTGAGATTAGGCTCACTTTTTATGCATGAGGCCCAATATCTTAAAAACGGCAAAATTTTTTAAATATATAATTTTTTAATTTTTAAAATTTAAAACTTTCCTCCTTATACAAAATTACTTCTAAAGCTTTATAGTTAAAAACTATGTTGTTTTAGAAACCGTCAATTAAAAAAAAAACTTAAATATTACAATAAAATTTAATATTCTGAGCGAGTTAAAAGATATTTTGGAATTTTAGGAAATGTTATGCTATAACTGAACTATAAACTTAAGTTTAAATGTAACGTACTTAAGAAAGTAAACGAAGTTTCCGAATAAAATTGAAAAATGTCTCGAAAAGATTCGTAATGTTTCACACAAATGTCGAAAAGTCCAAAAAAAAAAGTATATATAAAAGTTCTGAACTATCGCGAAAAATAAATCCGCAAATTCCTAAAACAAATAACAGACGTGATAAAACGATTCCCGAAAAATCGCGAAAAATTCAAACAGAATATGTAAAGCCTCCAAATTCATCCCAAATATTCCGAAGCTTAAGTAATCCAATAACCATTCGAAAAAACCAGAAAGAAACAAAATTGAAAACATCCGAAAAATCTTGAAAAACATCTGGAAGTTACGAAAAATCCAGAAATAGTTCGAAACAACCCCGAAACAAATCCGAAATAAATGAAATTTTTCCAGAAATTCCCGAATGAAGAGCCAAATATAATTCAAAGAATATAGCAAAAAGTTTCCGAAAAATGCCTTAAAGTCCAAAGATACCTAAAAGTTCCGAATGATCTCAAGATTAATCTCGATAAGGAAATATTATGAATGAAATAATCTTTTATAAATCATAAAGTTAAGGTTTAAATGTAGAATCGGGAAGTCTCCAAAATAAACTTGGAAAATCAGAAAATGCAGATAAGTCCAAAAAACATCTAAAAGGTTTTAAATATCTCGAAATAAATCGGAAATATCTTAAAATAAATCTGAATAGTTCCGAAAAAATATTTATCAAAAATTTAATTTTCAGTTTTAAATGCATCTGCCGTTGAAAACGAAAGTGCCCGAAAAGGTCCAAATAGCATTTGAAAAAATCAGGAATATTCCGAAAAAATTCAAAAAATTTCGAAGAGTCTGAAAACTAATCTAGCAGTTGCGAGTGTTTTCGAAATAACTATGAAAAATCGTGAAATAAATCCGAAAAGTTTCAGAGTTATATTTTTATTGGATCGAAATTATCGAACAAAATTCGCAAAACCTGTGAAATATCTTAGTATGTATTCACCTACATAATCCCGATAATGCTCAAAAAATCCGAAAAATCTGGAGAACTCTGAAAAAATCGGAATGTACCGAAAAACATATACGAAAACCCCTGAAAAAATTACGAAATGCTTTAAATAAATTCGAAACATTCCTAAAAAATATAGAAAAGTCACAAAAAACAGAAAAACCATTTGTTTTTTTATCATTGTCTTAAAACTAAACACGATTTTATTGGGATTTCTTGCTCAAAATATTAAAAGTCCAAATTTTAGGAAACTTGTGTCTGTATGCTGTAAAATATTAAGAATATATATCCCGGGACAAAAGATGGTACATCAACATTTTTTCCAGTTTTGACTACTTTGCTTTTGCTTTTTTTAAGGTTCACTAATTTTTTATGAAAGTTCAGCTTCTTATCCAACAAAAACCATATAAGTCCAGATTTCAAACTTTGTACAAAAATTTTAAAAATTGCACAAACTTTCCATATCAATTCCGAGTAATTGAATTAGAATTTCTAAATTAATTTTTGGTATGCAGTTTTATAGCTTAATAAATTGGAGTATAATAAAGTGACAGTTTAAAGTTTCTAAAAAATCGCATTAATTTTTGATTAAAATTTTTTTTTTTGAAATTACTTCGTATGGAAGAAAATGCGTGATACCGTCAGCAAAAAAATTATCAAAAATCAACGCGATTTTTTTGCATCGTCAAACTTGCACTTTGTTATACTACAATTCAATAAGCTATAAAATTGCATACTAAAAATTATTCTAGAAGTTAAAATTAAAATGCTTGGAATTGGAATAAAAAGTTTGTGGTATTTTTAAATTTTTGTCCAGTCTGAATATGGCATTTGTTAGATAAAGAGCTTTACTTTTATATAAAAATATTGAATATTAAACAAACAAAAGATAAACAGTCAAAACTGTTCAAAATGTTGAGGTGCTATCGTTTTGACGCGGGCTGTATTGTGGTAGCTTCGAAAAAGTGGTGTTTTTCACATCTGGCAACACGGATTGTAACACATGTAGAAAAACAAATGCCACCACCAATTATGTATGTCTAATTAATTGACCTTTTTTTGTACCTACCAGTTGCATATTGCTGGTACCAGCTGGTCCAAGTCCACTCGGGTATACCACGCACACGTGGATACATGCAATCCAAAAGAATTGTGCTCTGCGGTAATACGGCCATAACGCCCGATGGTTCAAATGCGCCAGAGCCATTGAAGACTTTGATCCGAATAGAGGGTGCACTATCGTCGGAGAAATTGGTCAGCAAGGTGGTGGGCACACAGGACGGCATACGCGGTGCCCACAAACCGTTCGAGCAAAGCACGCGCGATTCGCCAAGTAGTTTGTACATGCCTAGATCTTTGCAGCGTGCCTGCAATGAGTGTCCATGTGGCAAGTCCCAGCCGACATTCTGAGTGTCAGATGGACAGATGGACAAATTTCATATATATATATATATATATATGTATATATTTTTTTTTTTAACAAGATGTAACGTCAAATGTATTTAAAGAGAGAAAGAGTGTACGTTTGATTATTTTATCATTTCATCATTTGAAAGGAGTTAGCATAATTATAAACAGGTGCAAAAAGGCAGATAGAGAGGAAGAAAAAATAGAGGGGGAGAGAGAGAGAGAGAGACACACAAGCAAAGTTACAAATTACAAAGAGCAAGTCGTAATGACAACAGTGTAACACAATGTATAGGAGTGAAAGAGTGGCGTGTGGCAGAAAGATAGATATATGTTTTTTCCGATAAATATCTGTTAGTTGCTTGTTTTGAATTGGGTTGGCACTAACTTATTTAGAACTTAAATGCATTATCAAGTTGTAAAAGTGAATGATCAGAAATGGTATGTATATTGGGGTGCTTTTTGGCGCGACAATTTTTTTTTTTTACTCCAACCTCGAAGTTTTGTGGGAAGTATCTACCTAAAAAAATTCTCTGAAAATTTTAGCTCAGGTGAAATTTTCATGGATTATTGATCTATATTGTAGAAATTGTTGCTCAACTTCAAAGCCCAATATCTTAAAAAAATATCGATGTTAGCGATTTAGTGCTATTCTGTCATTGAAGTTTTGTAGCTCTCGTTATTTACGAGATAGGCGCAAAAAAATTAGAATTTCATGAAAAAATTGAGTTTAGTGACCCGTACTACTTCGCTGGTGGGCGTTAGGGTTACGCCGCAATGAACACTTTTGTAGAGCATTCTGAAGAAACGCAACGAAATATTTCCCATAAAATTTCGAGGAGGGAGTGAAAAAAAATTGTCGTGAAAAAAGCACCCTAATGTACATACATAAATCAGTGGCTGGTAAACAAAAAGCCGTGTAATATTTTGGTGCGCGAGTAGAAAAATATTAATCCCTTGGTCCGTTGAACATTGTAGTTTGGGTATATGTATGTATATATGTGGAAGAGAGAGCGAGAGAGACAGAGTCAGTGAGAAAGCGTGAGAGTGAGAAATAGAGCGACTTATTGCGCTCCTTCAATAAACTTTTGTCGTTCGATCACTGATTTGGATAACTAATTACGAGTATAAGTAAATGCGTGTAAGCGATATGAAGAAGTCTTCAATCACCATTAGCGACCCCATTGAATGTATGTAAATGAGTTTAGAATGCGAATTTGAAAAAAGTGCATATTCTGTGAGTGAAGTGCTTTGTGAATGGCATTAAAAAGGGTACTCAGCTATCCGATACATTTGTCCAAATGCAAGAACTACATATGTATGTACATAAGTAAATATTTTTCACTACCCAACGCAAGCATCACATCATCATCTACTGTGAACCCTCTAACTGTAAAAGGATCTACACAACTTTTTTTTTCTATTTTTTCATTCGTTTTACTACTAAAGTGCTCACATATGCTTATCGTCGTCCTTTTCCAAACCCAACTTCGCTTACACTCAGCTACCGCACACTACTCATGAGCACCTAAGCATACATACATACATAGCTCTCTTGCAGCCGGCGTCGGGAGCGGTGGCTATGCCACACTCAGTGAGTGAGTGGCACGTGCGATTGAGTGTGCGAGATATGAGTATGGAATAGACAAATTAATACCAATTGACTCGTTGGGTTTTTCTATTAAAATTTTAAAACTCACAATTTGTGTATTGGAAATAAAAGTCGATTTGGAAGTACGATTGCGACGTGACCCTCTTATGGACGGTATCGGGGTCTGCAAGAAAGAAAATGAAAGAAGACGAAAAAGAAATTTTGGTTCGCGCTCAATACACAAAAACAAAAAAATAACGAAGAATAAGGAAAGAACAAATACGTAGAAGAATGGGTGAAGTAGAGGCGGAGCGTGAAATTTTGCGATTAGTTGTAACAAAGATTAGAGTAAGAGGCACTGGCAAAGATATAGCTAGTGAAAGAGAGAGAAAGAGAGAGCGAAAAAGTGAGAGAGAGCTAGTTAAAGAGTGTGGACGACAGTTAAAAATTGGTGAGCGTAAAAAAGCATAAAAAAATGAGTGCAACGGTATGAAAAAGTTTCTAAAGAGCTTTCAATATTTTTAGCGAAACTTTAAAATTAGTTTAGCTTTGGCTTAAGTTGGAAAAAATCGCTACTATTTTATAAATTGAGGCATTCTAAGGCTGAAGTAATAATTATATATTTATATATTACACTCTTCCAACCGATCTACGATGGGTCAGTTATAGAAATTGTTTCGTAGAATTTTACATTTGGTAATGTGTATGCAAGTTGTATTTGGTTGTGCGCGGAAAGATTACTGCAGTAAAGCCTGCGAGTTCTGAAGTGACTCAACTATTTAGTAGTTAGTAGTTTGCTTTGAAGCTGAACTAGTCTGTCTTCTATATATTTTTCATCTTCTTTATATTGCCTTTTCTTATGGTAGTATTTAATTGTTACACCACAGTGCTCCCGAAACAAAAGCAGGCTCGATTAAAGTTGAGCAGAAAACCGCTTGCATAGCATTATAGATAACTGTTCATGGTACTTTCGGTGAAATTATACGTACATAGGTGCTCTCCTTCTTGAGACACCACAAGTTAAAGTTTAATAAATATATGGCTGGCGATAGCTAAGGCCTTTTCAAAATATTGGTACGGAGTTAAAGTTAAACATATCAGCATATCTCCGTACATATGCATTTACTATATGCATATTCGCCGTCGTATTAGTCTTCGTATTCCTCTTCGCATTCGTCGTCGTATTCTTCTTAATATTTGTCTTTGTATTTGCCTACGCAATCATCTTTCTATTGGCCATTTTCTTCGTATTCGTATTCGGTTTGTCTGCGTATTCGAATTCGTATTTGCCTTCGTATTCGTCTTCCGTCTCGCCCTTGTATTCTTGTTCGTATTCGTGTTCGTCTTAGTCTCCTTACTCGTGTTCGTACCCCTCCTCGTATTCTTGTTCGTCTTAGTCGTCGTATTCATCTCTGAATCCGCCTTCGGTTGCTCTTCGTATTTGTTTTCGTATGCGTATTTATTTGCCTTTGTTTTCATATAGGTATTTGCCTTCGTCTTCTCAAACTCTTTCGTATTCAAAATTTTTTCCACATGTGAGAAGTGGTTGTTGTTCTCACCGGGGTATGGAGTAAGGAGTGCGTGCTGTAGACCATACTACTTCCGGTGTTAGGATCGTCGGGTTGCCACATTAATGGGCAGGTGCCACTTCTGAGTTGAGCCGGGTGCGGTATCTAGCTGTTGAGCCTACCCACCACCCAGAACGGAGTTATGCTAGGATGCATCTTACCTGTCTCGGAAGTTCTGTATCCTCAATTTTGATGGTCTGCGGTCGATCTGCTTCGCTGTGCACGTTGTTGAGTGCCGCTCTGTACTGCGCTGCGTCAAACTTATGGTCTACGTACGGCTCACTGTCTGTATCTGTCTTCCAGTTGTGCAGGTGTGCGCCTCACATGTCGGGGAGCGGATCGTTTCGAAGCAGAGTGTTTGGGTTGGGGTTAGTTTCCTCGATGACATTCTATATTCTATTCTATTTGATAACAGGGCGTTATACTCTTAACCGCCACCGTCTTGTTTTCATTCGTGGAGATGATGCTCGGGCGACATGAGATGGCAGCCTGTAGCCATACACAAAGCTGCATTCCGACAAGCTTATAGATTTCTCCTATGCTTTACACTCATTACCGCTGACCACACTAGCGTTGCATACCTACTTAGCCACCAACGGGCCGATCACTTTCTTCGTGGTGGACAGGGTGCTTTTGTCAGCTGTTTAGGTGCTGCCGTCTAGCGCCTGAGAAGAAGAATAGGCTGTCAAACTTGACGCCCAGTAAAATGGGCCGGCTGACCTTTGGCTGAACATGGCAAAACTCATTCCGCCGCTAGCTTGAGTTAACTTGGCGAGCTACGTTGAGGATTGTACGATAACATCGACAGTCATGCGAAAACAGCACTGACTATCTAGCAGAAACTGCCAGAAACCTCTACTGGAAATGTCAGTATAACTTCTTAACCGAAATTTCATTTTCAAGTCGGCAAAGTTCATCGTCATCCTACTCTTTATTTACAAGGTGGTCCATGTAGTGGTTTATTTTTAGAATATCAAAAAAAATAAATAAAAATCATTTCCATTATTTATGGGGCAAGATTTGATTATTTAATAAGGCTGGCTCAGCTGGCTTCGAAGTAGCGCATCCTGTTTAACCCAGCTTTTAAAGACCTTGTGGCGGTTTCTGGCTCTATCTCACGAACGGCTTGCTCGATATTCGCCTTGAGGGCCTGATTGGTTGATGGAGTGTTCGCATACCCTCGGTCCTTCAAGGTACGCCACAAAAAAAATACTAACCGCATAAAATCGCAGCTGCAAAGTGGCCAATTAACATAGCAGAGGCGTCTCATTACCGATCTTGGCCTCATACCTCTGCAGCGCTCATAGTGAGCTGAAATGGCGTTTCCGGTGGCAATTTAAAAGGAAAATGGGCCATTGACGCCACCGCTCCAAAATTCGCACCAACCTACCACTATCTAAAGATGCATTACGTCGCATGGCGCGCAATACATGGTATCCGCCAAATACAATACCAGGTATTGTTCCCGTTTGGCTCTTGGGTAGGTGTCACCGAAGAATGTAAAAAGCAGACCTTTCGGTTCGGCAAAAAAAAAAAATCCAAATTGACTTGCAAATGTACCGTAGGCTCAGCGGTGCACGGCGAACGTTTTTTTGCTTGCCTTTAGGGTGGTACTATCTAATGTGAGACGCCTTTATGTTTAAAAAAGATATCCCAATTTCGAAAAAAAAATCAGCTGCGATTTCACGGACGGCGACTATGAACAGTTATCTAAAAGTCTGTGCTTTTGGTTTCCTCTTCTTAGGTGCTGTCCAATAAGTAACCTACCTCAACAAGAACTAGTCAGCTTTTGCATGAGTATTATACCAGTTATTGAAATAGCGTAAAAGTTGACTACTTATTTGGCTTGCACTGCAGTATACTTCCCATCTAAATCACACCATTTCCTGCGTAGTACCTGAAAGTGCTTTATGAAAGTGCTTGCCAGTTGGCTGAGTGAGTGAGTGAGTAGCTGAGTGAAACGGGTGTAAAAAAGTGTTAGAGAAAAGTTTAGCATGCCGAAACTTGATGAAGAATGTATTCTTTAGTTTTTAGTTTTTGTTTTTTTTTTGTGTATTCATAATGCATTTCCATTCATTGCAATGTTTTGGAATATTTTTTCAAGTTTAAATACTTTGCACTTACCACTGAAATGTTACGATAGCTCAACAGTAAATGCGGTGGAATTCGATTTACATGGCAACTCTTGTATAGGGGCTGAAATTTCACATTTCCATTATCATCTACGTTAATGTGCCACAAATTTGTGAAAAGTGAATAAAAGATTTAGAACAAAAGACAAAGTTTTATATAAACTAGTCAATTTAAAATACGTATACATATTTTGTGAAAATCGAAAAATCGAGTAGCATGTCTGGAAAAATGAAACGAATTGTGTGCATTGTTGTGTATTCTCACGAAAACGAATTTATTTCATTTGTTTCTCATTTCAACAACCATCTACACTTATTTGCAAGTACGGTTATGTAGTATGTATGCTCGTATGTATTTAAGTTTTTTATTTCGAATGTTTGTATCTACTATTTATATTTAGTTATGACTGGAATGTGCTACAGAGTTATGTTATGTTCTTATGTTTGTATGTATTACTATTTGCTTATGTATTTGTGTATGCATTTTCTTGTTTTGCTGCATTTTTTCAATCAATTCTTAAACTACTATGTATGTATGTATATATGTTGGCAAGCATTTTTTAGTTTTCAATGTATTCATGTTTTCATTCAATTTTTAATAACTTCGCATTCATGTGCATTTTTGTTGTTGTTGTTGTGCAAATGTTAATTCTCTTTTTATTTTTTGTTTCAATGTTTATTTATGCTTTAACTTATGCAATTACGTATTAATATGTATGTTTATATTGCTTAATGGTTTGTGTATTTGCAATGCCTATTTCGTATTTTTTGTTTTGTTTTTTTTTTATTTTTTTCATGTTCTCTGTGTATCTATGGCTGAGTAGATACTTAGTTTGATGTTGCTGTTTCATTGAATGTTTGCATTTTGTGTTTTTTTTTCTTCTTTTCACCACTTACCCTCCTCATTGGTGGCGCACAACGGTCCCACCCATTTGCCCTTGACGCAACGTATTTTGCACAATCTTCTATCGCCCAATGGTCCAATTTCGCCAGGGAAACGTATTTCGGAGACTTCAGTGAATTGTTGTTGAATATCAACTTCTTCCTCTTCCTCTTCATCCTCATCCTCTTCAGCTTCATCGGGATGTACAGGTGAGTAGCCACCTTCTTCATCGTAAATGCCTGTAAGTATATTAAAAGGGTATAAGTATTAGAAGAGTGATGAGGATACGGGTTATGAATATTTAGGGACTAGGTCGTGATGTGTGCTTTGACAAAATGCATTACTTTAAGCCTATCTAGATTATTTTTTGTGGGAATCCTGTCTTCAAAATACTTGCAGATGAAAGTGCCCTTAAAAAAATTCGTTTGCAACTTTTTCAACTATTTACGTAAACAATTTTAATTTTTGCATAATTAGTAACCCTATTATAAATATTTTTAAACTAGCAGATCCGGCGAACTTCATCCCGCTCAAAATTTATTTTTTTACTCACACATTTGGTATAACTTTTTCAGCAAAATTCACGTTCACTTTTGATTTTGTGGTCGTCAGAAAGCATATCATCCATTGCCGTCTTCAATAACCTAACAAAAGCGTTATGTCCGTGAAGAAGTTCTTGCGGCAATAATGATGGTGAATCGTCCTTGAATCTGTATAGTATAGGTGGTGGCAATTTCAAAATGGGAATGCATGATTGGTCCACAGGCATCCAATATACATCAACTTATTTCAGACGAAATACCATAAATGTCTTACAATTGAATCTGAGGGTATTCATCAAGCTCTTTTTTTCAATCTGCCGTTACCAATATATATCTCGGCCTATTTCAAAAAGAATTGGCACCGCCATTCGCGAGATCACCTTTTATAAAAAGAAGATGACCCATCTCTTAATACAATTGGTATAGATAATAAGTATAGATAAGTAGCCAATATCCGCTTGCTTTGCGGCGCCTTAAACACACATTTCGAACTGTAAAACAATCATTCAATTATATTCTATGTATATCTATAATACGTGTATCGAATTTCAAGCGAATGGGAATAGATCGGTCCCCGGTCCACCTAATCAGAAAAAAGTGTTCCATATATTAATCCAGGCAGTAAACTGCCTACTGCCTAAAAAATTGATCATATATGTTAATCTAGGCAAAATGCTACCTACGTACTAAATTTTAAGAAAATCGGACCATAATACGATTTTTTCGAATATATCGGTCCCTGGCCTTCTGCCGGAAAAAGTAATTTTTTTTTTGGCCTTATGACATGGTGGTTGCTGAAAGCTACTTATGTAGTATAGATAGATTAAAGCTTTTTCGACACATTTGATTTGGTGCGCTGAGTCTTGAGATTTTTTTTAATGAATAATATTTATATATGAAGGCTTAAAAGGAAAGAAAAGAAAATAAAAACGAGAACTCTAAGAAATGTTTGTAAGCTACGAGCGTAACGCGATGTTTCTGCATTAACCGACTTATTCTTTTGGAAAGCAGCGGCTAACCTGAAAATGCCGACTATGAAAAGAGAACAGTGACTGGTATTGGTTTATGGTTCTGTCGAGACCGATTCCAAGGAGAACCGGAAATTCGGACCGATTCCGGTGGTAACGGATTTAAATTTAAGATTTTAAAGCGTATTTAAAAAAAAATTTTTTTTCTTTTTATATTTTTTCTATTACATTCATTCCTTACATGATATTTGTGTGACCGAAATTGTATAAAAATAAAATATGTACTATACATGAAATTAAATTTAACTAAGCGTTGTCCACGTAAAGGTTTCATTTAAAACAAAGTAATGCTTCTATTTAAAAACATGATTTTTTCGATGTTGTCGCTGCTATTTTGACGTACATATTTAAATGCTATCAACTGCATTAAAAAACAACAAAGTTGATGTATGTAAGTCGGTCAGATCGGGTAAATGGCAGCTATATGACATAGTGCCTCGAAACGAACAAAATTTGGTAGTTCAACTAAGAACTCTAGGATCCGTTTTCAATTCTTTTTACTTATTTTTTCGGTTATTCTGGAATCGTTTTTCGGGTTTTTTGGAATCGTGTTTCGGTTCTTATGGAAACGTTTAAGGATCACATCTGTGGAACGATTCATTCAAGTGGAATTGGCTATGCAACTGATAGTCTTTGCGTTTTCTCACACCCAGACAAACTGAGTTAATACACTTTAGAAGGACGTCTGTGATATGTATGTGTGTATATTAACATTATTAATTAGAAAAGACATTAATGACAAATCAGACGCCAAACTAAGAAACATTTGCCATTGTAACAATATTCTTCCATGAAAAGGAAGGAAAAAAAAATTTAAACAATTTCATTTTTACATTGAACAAAAATGTGGTCTCTTTGTCATTTTGTTCATCAAGTTTTGCTGGATAAGAATATTAAATATATACTGTACTGTGGTGCATACTTAAAAACAAAAAAATCCGATTAATATGTTCCTATTGTTGTGCTGAGGTGACAATAAAAAGCAGTATGCTAATTATAAGTGATGCAATAAAGAAGAGATTAAAGACGCTATTCTTAGCTTACAAGGCATCTCTTTTTACAGTTCCCTTTTCCACCAAAAAAAAAATCTAATTTCGTTACTCACCCTTATCCTTGCGACTTGTCGTCTTCGAGCTGGAATCTCCGCCGCCCTTGGGGCGACTCAATGCGCCGGTTGTCTTGCCGGACTTGCGTTTGACGCGCTGCAGCGCCTCCGCGCCCGTCTCATTGCCATACACCGCCGGCACATCGCCATCGCCCGGCAGCTGCTCGTTACTCATTTTAATATAATTATTCGTTATGTTTTCGCCATTGCTACTGCCACGCCAAATTGTTGTCGCAGCCAAGTCGCTATTAGCCATCGCATTCACCGCCTCCGTTTCCAAATCATTGTAGCTGTCAGTGCCATTAGCTGCAGTCATAGCAGCCTGCAGCCTTGGTTCCCCGATTGTATCGCGGCGATATCGTAATTTCGAATTCAAATTCAAATTCCGATTTGCCTGCTGCATTCGCTGTTCACCGCGTTTATCCTCATGACTGTCACCACGTCTTCGATGATGCTGTTTTATGTTGGCATTCTTGTCTTGTGTCTGCTTCACCTTCTCGCCCACCTTTTGCTTGGTTAAGTCGGTTGTGTTCGCTTTTTTCTTCTTTTTCTTCGACAATGTCTGCTTGCATTGCTCCTTGTTGACGTCGTCGGTGCATGTGGAATTCTTTGATTTGCTTTTGCGTTTCAACTTATGCAATTTCAAGCGCAGCTCAGCATTCGGTGTACCCGACTCGAGTATGTCGTCAATATGTACATAGTAAACATCACCCTCGGCAGCTAACTTGCTGCCACCCCACTTGTCTGTGTCTGGCGATGCATCCGGATCATGATGGATCACCTGACGCTTATATCGGCTGCCGCGACCGCGTGTTTGCCCATTTTCGTTTTCTATGCGGCGGCGACGTCCACCGCCAGAGCGGCGTTTCTTGTTCAGCTTGCGATTCGGATTGCGTTTGCGTGTGCCATCTTCGGAGTCGGCCGCCTCGTCCTCCTCGTCGTCGATGGCGGCGAGTGCGTCATCAGCACCGTGCATCCCTGCCAGGCCGTGCTGGTCATCCAGTTCGACTTGGTAGGGATTAACGATAGCGCTCATCTTATTGTCGTTGACGCCAGGCTGACGGGCGGTCAGATCTATGTTAATCCTTTCGACAAACTCCGCATCGGAGGTGGTATAATCCTCCGGTAGATAAATCTGAGTTGTCTCGAATTTTGCATACGGTTGCTCAGTGGTGGTTTCTGGACGTATGACAGTGAAGCGAATATCGGGTGCCTTGCAGCCAGGTGAAGCATCTGTCAATTAAATTAACAGAAAGAAAAACAATTTTTAATCAAATGCTTGGGAATAATAAAATAAAATGCTTCAAGAATGGCAAAAAATAGTTATGCCTACGTTTGTACATTAGGGTGGTCCAAAAATACATGTGGAAAAGTAAAGTCGGAATTTTAACAACAAACAAATATACCCCTTTTTTATTTTCAAAGCAAAAAATATTTAAACAGCTCAAAGTTTTCCTGTATTTTATATGGGGATAAACAAGTTTTCGTAGAAATGGTATAAAATTCTTGAAAAATAGTCTGCCCTATCCTGAGTTTCGCATGAAAAAAAAAATTCGTCATCCGCCCATAGTAAAACCATGGAAACCAAAAGTGAAAAGTGAACCGGTTCTGGGAAAATTAACTCTTGACAAGGCTGAATATTTTTCAATCGGAAAACTTTGTTTCTCTTGAAGAGACTTCCAGTAAAAATATACCATTATTTATTTTACCATTTTTTAATACTAGCGATTTTTTATGAGTCCCCCTAGCATTTTTGAGGTTATAGGGGTCCTATAAAAAATAGTTAATAACACCGCGCAACAACTTTATTTTCTAAGAGTATGCCCATTCAGTAGTAAAACACTCGATGGATTTGCAAAAGTTAGCTCGTATTTTTGTTTTATGGCCTACTTAAATTTTCATGTCTCGGCCTAAGTAGTTTGTAGTTTGGTAAAATAAATATCTTAGCGAAATTAAAGGCTATGACTTATATAGTAAAATTTCATGGGAAATATTTTCATATAACATTTTAACCCATTAGCTCCCGCCTGAAAGGGTCGTTTTGACCTTTCCTTCAAGAAACCGCATTGAAAGCAAATTTGGAAGTTCGTTAAAGGATTGATATAAATATTCTAGAAAATTATACTTCTGAAAAGTTATTAGGCTGTACGATTAACCGGGATGTGAAACGCCAGAACATTGGGGGAAATTCCAAGAACTTCTTCTCGGACATTAAACTTTCGATGGGTTATTTAAGATTGACTGCCTTGGAAGTATAGCTTCCGACCACCAAACCATTATATTAGCATTATAAATCGTGAGTGTGAATTGTTAGTGAAAATCGTTGACCAAAATGTTTCAATAAAAAAAATATGTATATATATTTCTATTATTTCTGAGGTCATAAGCAATAACCGCCTAGGTCGTGGGTTAGATGGGCTTTGTCGGGTTTTAAAAACATTATAACTTTTTTGTTTGTGAATAAAGGCTAACTCGTTTTTGAGGGCTTTAGATATATAGTATAAAAATAAAAATCTAGGAATAGTCATTCCAAAATTAGTGAAGGTATAAATCAAAACAGTTTTGAAGGCCAAAACTGTTTAATGGCCAATTTTAGTACTGAGCGAGACCTTTTCAGCGACATAAAATTAATTTAAAATTAAATTAAAAAATTTTGAATATCAAATAAGAAAGTTATAGCAAAAAACGCGATTTAGCGGTTTTAACGGGTGCATAAAAAAAAATGTTTGCACCCAAAATTTTTTCTCGGCATAAGTATTCAAATAAAACTGACACACGTTAAACTTTTCTCTCGTGATACGCCTTAATGTGCATACATATATTAAAAAAAAAAAATACAATAAAATAACATTGTATTGCCCCTCGTTGGCACTCTAGTTAAAACGCCCAGCTAAAGTGCAATTAACTGAAGCATCAACGATTAGCTTCGAGAGTGAATGATGAAATGGTAAAGCGCTCGCCTTTCATTGAGGCGAAACCACTTGAGGCCCTTAACTATGAGTATTGTGTTGTTGTCAGCAAAGCGGAGAGAAATAGTAAAAAAGTACAAAAACTAGGTTAAGTGCTAGTCCAACGAAAGGAAATGACAAAAACTATTTAATATTCAGCAGGTGCTGGATCGCAAATATTTTCATTTAATTAAATAGTACTTTTGGGAATAAAAAAAAATATTGGTAATGAACTTCACTTTAGAAAGTGTTAAACTTTTGTTTGTTTATAGGTTCTCTATATAAGTATATTAATTTTTATGCAGGCTCAGATTCTTTAAATTCCATTTGTTTTTGTAATTACTAGATTAGACCCTAACAGGGCAAGCGATTAAAAACTAATATTTTGGAAATAAATATAAAAAATAAAGCTTTTGATATTCCTTAAATTAAGTTGATATGTCTCCGCTATTAAAAATTAGGTGGCAGCGCCGTTAAGAAATGCGCTAGGATCAAAAAAAGTACATATCTTGAGTGTATATACATTAGAGTGGTTCAAAAAATTTTTTTTTGGAAATTCATAAACGCTACCCCAAATAATTGTTATTTGTGATAAAAAAAGAGACACGTATTTTTT